AACTTTTTAATTTTAAAAAACTTTCTGACTCTTTTGTAATAACACTTAGAACACAACCACATTGTTCAGCTGTCCAAAAATATTTTCTTTCTCGATATCCTTATTCTATATGCTTTCTTCTATATTTAATTTCTTTTTACTTTTTTAACTTTTTTGTTAAAACCTAAGACACAAGCCAGGCGCGGTGGTTCAAGCCTGTAACCCCAGCACTTTGGGAGGCCAAGGCAGGTGGATCACGAGGTCGAGAGATCGAGACCATCCTGGTCAACATGGTGAAACCCCGTCTCTACTAAAAACACAGAAAAATTAGCTGGGCATGGTGGCGCGTGCCTGTAATCCCAGCTACTCAGGAGGCTGAGGCAGGAGAATTGCCTGAACCCAGGAGGCGGAGGTTGCGGTGAGCCAAGATCATGCCATTGCACTCCAGCCTGGGTAACAAGAGCGAAACTCCGTCTCAAAAAAAAAAAACTAAGACACAAACACACACTTTTGTCTAGGCCTACAGATTCACGATGCTCAATAGCACTGTCTTCCACCTCCACATCTTTTTATTTTTTGAGACAGGGTCTCTGTCACCAAGGCTGGAATGCAGGGGCACCATCACAACTCACTGCAGCCTCAACTTCCCAGGCTCAAGCCATCCTCCTGCCTCAACCTTCCAAGTAGCTGGGACTACAGGTGTGTGCCACCATGGTGGTTAATTTCTTTCTTTTTTTTTGGCAGAGACAGAGGTATCATTATGTTTCCAAGCTGGTCTCAAACTCCTGGGCTGAAGCAACCCTCCTGCCTTGGCCTCAAACTGCCGGGACTGCAGGCATGAGCCACAGCACACAGCCCAAACTCCAACATCTTGTCCCTCTCGAAGTTCTTTAGGGACAGTAACAGACACAGAGCTGCCATCTCCTGTGGTAACAATGCCTTCTTCCGAAATACCTCCTGAAGGACCTTCCTGAGGCTGTTTTACAGTTAACCTGTTTTTTTTAAGTAGAGGAATACACTCTGAAATAATGATGGGGACCAGATGGAGCGGCTCATGCCTGTAACCCCAGCATTTTGGGAGGCCAAAGTGGGTAGATCACCTGAGGTTAGGAGTTTGAGACTAGTCTGGCCAACGTGGTGACATCCCATTTCTGCTAAACATACAAAAATCAGCCGAATGCCTGTAGTTGTAGCTACTCAGGAAGCCGAGGCAGGAGAATTGCTTGAACCTGGGAGGCGGAGGTTGTAGTGAGCCGAGATTGCGCCACTGCACTCCAGCCTGGGTGACAAAGCAAGACTCTGTCTCAAAAATAAATAAATAAAATAATATTAAAAAGCATTATATAGTAAATGCATAAACCAGCAGCACAGTCTTTATCATTATTAAGTATTAGGTACTATATATAATTGTATGTGCCATACTTTTAGACCACCCACCTCAGCCTCCCAAAGTGCTTGGATTACAGGTGTGAACTACTGCACCCAGCCACTACTAAATAAAATTAAATGTTAAGAAGTTTAAAATATGAACAAATAAGCAATTAAAGAAAAAACCAATAGGATGCAGTTATATATATTTTTAATTTGGAAACAACTATATCTTAAGCTGCGAAATCAGAGTCGGCTGTGAAGGAGAGTGAAGCTACGGTAGAGAGAACAGATGGGCAAACACAGTTACCCATTATTATTATTTCTTTTTTTGGGACAGAGTTTCACTCTTGTTACCCAGGCTGGAGTGCAATGGTGCGATCTCGGCTCACCGCAACCTCCGCCTCCTGGGTTCAAGCAATTCTCCTGCCTCAGCCTCCTGAGTAGCTGGGATTACAGGCACGTGCCACCATGCCCAGCTAATTTTTTGTATTTTTAGTAGAGACGGGGTTTCACCATGTTGACCAGGATGGTCTCAATCTCTTGACCTCATGATCCACCCACCTCGGCCTCCCAAAGTGCTGGGATTACAGGCGTGAGCCACCGCGCCCGGCCTTCGACACTGCCACTTTCAAAGAATATTTAGTGACATGGGAAAATGTTCATAATATACACTTTAAAAACAGGCTAAAAACTGTATTTATAGGCCGGGTGGAGTGGCTGATGCCTATAATCCCAGCCCTTTGAGAGGCCGAGGTGGGAGGATCACTCAGCAGAGGAGTTCAACATCAACTTGGGCAATAGAACAAGACCCCGTCTCTACAAAAAAATAAAATCTAAATAAATTAGCGAGGTATGGCCGTCTGTGCCTGTGGTCCCAACTACTTGGGAGGATCTGTTAGGAGAGCCTAGGAGCTTGAGATTGCAGTGAGCTACGATGGCACCACTACACTTCAGCCTGGATGACCAACTAACAAAACTATCTGTAAAATATGATCAATTGTACAAAAGAAAAAGAAGAAGAAATATAGAAAATATTACTAATGGCTAGAACTGACTGATGGAACCATGGCTTATTTATGTTTTCTTTGTCATGCTTCATTTTCCAAAATTTCCATGCTGAGCATATGTACATTATATAATCAGACAAAATAAATATTGAAGCTATTCCTTAAAGCCAATACATAAGCAGGATGCATTTCACAGAGCAGGAGCTAAACTGTATTTGAATCAGTTAGTAGCTCCTGTCGCGTCTTTAGTACCCACTTCAGAAGCATTTTCGTGTCTAGCTTAGAGACATGTTGCCCACAACTGTCTTTTCTGCTCTCTGGGGAGCATTCTTAACCAGCACTTCTGGTTATTTGGTCCTGTTCTTTTTCAAAGTGTGGAACTACCACTTTGAATACAGATTTATAAGGTGAGATCAGCCATAAATTAAAGCTCACAGCTATAGAGGTACATTCCACCTGGGCCAGAGAAGCCAAGATCCCGTACGGGCCTCATGGCTGTTGCCCAGGTGCGGACGAGTGGGCTGCTTCCTGACGTCTGTCTCTCTGATTCAAGCTCCAGGTCCTGGTCTCTGTCCTGCTCCCACTCTGGGCCCATAGCAAGGACTTGTACCTGGTTCTCAGTTTCAGCCTTTCCCTTCCAGAGTGACTCTGTTCCTGCATCTATTTTTTCTCTCTAAGGTATCTTCACTCTCCCTTCTCGCAGCCTGTTCTCTGGTAGCTTAAAATCATACTTTCATAGTTAAAAAGAAAATATAACCACATCCTACTGAAGCAGCACCCTCCTCCTTCACTACCAAAGTCCCCTCAAACGTGAATCCTTCCCTCTCCTTCCCAACCTCTGTCCCGTCTCAGCCCATTTCTATCCAGCGTCTGCCTCACCACTGTCCCCAAAGTACTTTCAAAGGCTACCAAAGGCTTCCTAACTGCTATAGACAAAGGTTCCTATTAAGACTCATAATTTAAAATCAGATGTCAATCATACCTCAGTAAAGGTGGAAAAAAATCTAAATAAATAAACTTAAGTAAGGTTAAAGTAAAGTTAAATCAGCTACCTGCCCTTTACAGTGTCTCTCCTTATTATTCGACATCCCATGCATTTGTCTGTTGACTGCCAGAGAAACAAAGCAGGCACAGCCTCCACCCTTCTCCTGGACCCTGGATGGGCATAGCCAGACAATACAGAGTGGGAAAGCAACTGCTCAGGGATGGGGTGGGGGTGGGGGCAAGAGGAAGGACTGGCTGACTCCGGAGAGGGGCTGCAGGGGGGTGTCGGACCCACAGGGCAGCCAGAGGGCCAAGCAGAGGGTGTTGACGGGAGGCACTGTGCCAGGGGCTGCCAGGGTTCTAAAGCTGCCTCAGGTGTGGAGTGCCCTCACCAGGCACCCGACTTCTGCCTCCCTCTTAATGTAGCCATCTGCTTGAGGCGTTTTGTTCTGGCTTCTCACCTTCAATACTCTTTCCTGGGGCCTCAACACTTCCAAGACTCAGCTATCATGTTCTGAACCCACAGCCAAGTATATAAACGGCTGCTTGGTTTTTAGTTCCCTCTCATCACTTCCAGGGTGATTTGTTCCCCTGCCTACGATTCCCTCTATCGTAAGCCCTAGAAGCTAACCTGAAATCACAGGTGTGATCCCAGGACTGCAGTTGTGAGTCACCACCCCAGCCCCATGCTACCTCTAAGCATGTTTACCCCTTGCCACTGCCTTAATGATTCTAACAGTCTCTTCATGAATCCTGACACTCCCCTGCTCAAAAACCTTTAATGGCTATTGTCCGGATCAAGAGTGAAGTCCAGAGCCTGCTAGGACCTTCGAGGCCCCATGCTACCTTTCCAGCCTCGTCGTCATTTGCTCCCTCTCCCTAATCCCATCCTACGCTCCAGACGCCCAGACAGCTTCCCTTCCTCCGCTTTGCTCCTGTGTCTCTGCTTATGCAGGCTCTCATCTGCTACGTGCCTTCCAGGCCCATCTCAAATGGCTCCAAAAATAAGGTGCTCTCAACCATTCCACCCTGCCTCTACCCCGTCCGAGTTACTCTACTCTTTCAATGCATAGACATAGCACTTTGTAAATACTTAGCTCATGGTATTTATGTGCACATTTCAGTGTTGTGGACTCTACTGACCTGGGCTGTATAGATTAAGAGACTAGGAGAGCCTTGCATATAGTAATACCCCTAAACTCTTAACTGACGTGGAGTTATGGCTGGGTGTGATGGCTCATGCCTGTAATCCCAGCACTTTGGGAGGCTGAGGTTGGTGGATCATCTGAGGTCGGAAGTTCGAGACCAGCCTGGCCAATATGGTAAAACCCTGTCTCTGCTAAAGAATTAGATGGGTGTGGTGATGCATGCCAATAGTCACAGCTACTCGGGAGGCTGAGGCAGGAAAATCACTTGAGAATCACTTGAACCCAGGAGGCAGAGGTTGTAATGAGCCAAGATCGTGCCATTGCACTCCAGCCTGGGCAACAGAGCAAGACTCCATCTCAAAAATAAAAAAATAAAAATAAAGCAGACTTATTTCCAAGAACACGACACTTTTTATGTTCTAAGAAACAGAAGACTCTTACCCATGTCAGAAAAACACATCTAGGTCAAACTTGGTTTGGCCCAGAAAAGAGTATTAAAGTTGATACTTGCCTCTTGCACCCCTGAAAAGAATTCTGTAGTGTTTTTCTAATCGCTTGGCCATGTAGTTGGCATTTAATATTGCAGTTTCCGTGGCTTGTTTAAGCCCCTTGCCTCCCATCATCTGCAACAGAGGGAAAAAGCCATTAGCCATTGAAAGGGCAAACCCAAAGGTCTAGACATCAACCAAAGACACCCCCAGGTAAATTCCACTCACAAAGGAAGGCAGCCCACCCTGACTCGAGAAGAGAGGAGTGGAAAATTCCAACAAGGACATCTGTCAGATCCCTCTAAGCCTGTAATACATTTTTGGTTTTTTCTTTTAACAGTAGTTTTACGTTTTCTATTATAGTATTGTGTTTTGGGTTTGTTTGTTTACTATGCATTTGAGGGGTCTTGATAATTGCCAGGAATCCCATGGGATTTTGGCCAGTATCTCCCCATTGAAGCAATTTTGTATGGTTTCCCATTGTCCCTAGTCAAGGCCGCTTATGTTTACGAACTGATCAGTCTTGTCCGGGTAGTTAATCAGTCCCTGCAATCATAAGGGATATACATCATCACTAGCAGAGAGCTTTCAAATCAAGACTGCACCAATTCCGATGGGCTACTTTCTTCCCAGAGTACCTCACATGTGATGGAGTCGGCATATGTATTAAACACATAACTAATGTAAAGAGAGAGCACCAAATAAAACAATAGGAGTACTTCGATATCACTAAGGTGGTCCAAAGTAAAAAGGGCGCACATTGCTCCAGGCTGGTCAAAGAAGGGTTCCTAGATTAAGAGACAGAAAGAACTTGGCTAGCAACTTAGAAATAGAATTTAGATAGGGAAAGAGAAAGGGGAAGGCACGCCAGGTGAGAAGAATGGCAGAAATGAAGGCGTGGAAGGGGAGGGCACATGACTGTCATCTGGGAGCAGATGTAGGCCAAGGTGAATTGTGACTCCATTTTTAAGCCCAAACCTTCGCTAGGAAGGACTTTGACGTCAGCCAGCCAGCCACTATGAGTTCTCAACCTATGACTCATGGCGGGTATTTTCAAAATACAGATGGCTCAAGTCCAACCCTACATATGTTCAATCTGGTTCTCCATGGAATGAGGCCTAAGCATGTGCATTCTGAAGGAATCCCCTAAGGATTTCGTGCAGGCTATTGAGAACCAGGTAAAGCAACAGGAAGCCAGGAGAGGTTTGTGGGTGCCTAGGGTGAGTCTAGCAGTCCTGCGGAATTGCAGCAGGGAGAGAGGCAGCTAATGCTAGAGTCCAGGGGATAAGTCACAACAGCCTGAAATAAGAGAAGGTCCAAGGTCAGAGGGGTAGCTTAAACCCTACTTTATTTATTTAGTTTTAAAACTGAGGCACCGGCTGGTGTTCCAGGCATGCAGCCAAACCAAACTTGGGGCATTTATTTTCTATATGTGGGAAATCATCTCCAACCCAAATATGTTCATACAAATAACCAAGATTTACAGAACCCAGAGATCAAAAGGGAAGTGGGAATTTGATTCTGCTTACAAAGAGGCAGACCTTTATTCCGACTGCTTGTGTTGTTTGCAAAACAACTTGAGTCTCATTTTGAAAAGCAAGTGTTAGTCTCTGTGGTACAGGATTGTTCTGGCTTCCAAGAAACTTTTTGTGAAGAATCATAAATGCCACCCTGTTCCAGAAATAAACAACCAGCTCCAGAGAGTCCTCTGGCATGATTTGCATAGCTGTGTTTTGGGGGTTTTGTTTCAGTGGGAGTCCCCCTTCCTTTAAAGCGGGGCACTGGTTTGGGGAGACTGCTCTAATTAGCGGCCGAACAAATGTTCCTATTCAGTCTTGTCGGTCCAGGAGGTGGGCAGGCCAGTCTGAACAAGAACTGTAGAAAATCAGCTCTCGCCCTGGTGTTTTTTGGAGTAAGACAAAGGAAGGAAGCCTGTTCTCTGACAAAGTCTAATTACACAAAGAGAACAGTGCCACAAGTCCTAAAGGCCGCAGAACTCTGGGAAACCACCAGAGAAGCAAATTTCCGCTACTTTTCATCTTATCTTCCAAGGCCCCCCAAGAAATATACAGCAAAGTGAGATGTACTCCTAAAATTCATCCCAGGATCTCAGCAAAGTGAAGTAATTAGTACATGCACTGCTTTTCACTCAGATGGGGCTATATAAATCCTGCAGGAAACCAAAGGACGCAGCCAGAACATCCATGACTCATCGAACTTAGCTGTGTCTGGAAAAATATATCTGGCGCTTCAGTTTCTCTGATGTTAGACCCACTCCAGAAACCCAAAGGAAGTAGTGTAATGAAGGAGAGATGAAATTATTTCTAGCTCATCTCTTTAGGAAGGTTTCTTCCACCCAGGTCATCAGCAGTATTCTTTGAACCACATCTCAGATGATAAATTTCTTTGTTTTTAAGCCAAGAAGGAAGTCTGCAGTCTCCAGCCCCCACCCATACCTGACGTCCCCACCCACGTGTACAAGGCCTCACCTTGATATAAGCCCAGGAAATGGGCAAGATGGAACTGGAGCCCCATGGGGCGGCGCTGATGGTTCCCACAGGACAGGCATCCTCATTCAGCTTTAGTGAAATGATGGGATGATTGGGCAAAAATGGGGCAAGATGCTTCTTCCTATATATTTTTTTAAGTGGAAATTCAGAAAATGTAAAAAGATTCAGTTTAATCTAATGGGAAGGTTCTGGGCCTTCCTAGGAAGCCCTGATCTTAGCAGAGGAGCTCTGACATCACAAGGGACCCTCCACCTGCTGGGAGGCAGATGTTCAGGAAGCAATCCTTTCTTCCCTTCCCTTCCCTCCTTCCTCCCTCCCTCGCTCGCTCCCTCTCCTTCCCTTCCTTCCCTCCTCCCTCCCCTCCCTCCCTCCTCTGTTTCCCTCCCTCCCTCCTCTGCTGGAGGTCCACCAGCCATCAGTGTCCCAGGACTCACCCAAGAACTGTGGTGGAGGACTTGGTAGAGGAAGACAGTCATGAAACAATGGAGTTCCGTGCCCCTCCCTCCCCCCTCCCAGCCCCATTTCCCTCTCCCTTCCAGGCCCCCACCCCTAGACACTTTCCCAAGATGAATGTAGGAGGGGCTGATGAGAAGATGCCCCATGGGCTGACATGTACATCATTCTCCCCACCTCCCTGAGCACTGGAGCTAACCCATTTACTAGAAATAATCATCAAAATGAATCTCACTTTAACAGTAGTCAAAAAAAAAAAAAAAAAGAAAGAAAGAAAAAAGAAAAAAAAAAAGACAAGACAGAAAGAAAAGAAGAAAAAAGTAAGAAGGCCAAGCTTCCAGAAACTCTGAAAACTGGCTTCTTTGCATATTTTTGGAATACTCAAGCAGCTCAGGAAACAGCTGCTCTCATCGTCATTTTCCCAAGATGAACTGGTTTCAGTGTAAAAAGATATCAACAGCTAAGAAATATTCCTTCAGTCCTACTCCTGCTTCATCCAGTTGTTTCTAGTAATAAGGTTTGTTTCTTCTTTACTTATCTGTTACTTATCTCAACACCTTATATGTAATTCACTTTCAATGGAGCCATTAGCTGATTTTAAAAAAGAAAAGAAAAAAACTGCTTGGAAATCCAAAAGTATGAAAGACACTTTCTAGTGCTGATATTCCGGTTCCAACACATATGCTTAGGTAAAGTTCTCTATTCATTATTCTGTTAATAAACCTGCTCTGTCTCAATGAGGCCAGATGTTGTGGTTAATAAAATCTAGTTACGCTTTTCTTTGGATGTCCCCTAAAAGCACACATGTTGCTGCTCTTCCCCCAGCCCCTACAAGTGCACTACACTAACAAGGGTATCCTCAACACATGAGGACTCTGATGGGATGAGTAGCGTATCTGGGGCCACTCCATTCCATCTCCGAAGCCATTCTGAAACCAGCAGCCCAGAACTCACACTCCGATGGGCCCCATGCCAGGACCACCTCCTCCGTGGGGAATGCAGAAGGTCTTGTGAAGATTTAGGTGTGAGACATCAGACCCAAAGTCTCCAGGGCGACAGATTCCCACCTACCACAAAGGCAAGGGCCAAAGGCCAAAAAGTCAAGAGCTTGGAAGCACCCTCCAGCGTGAAGGCTGTGGCTGGATGGTGCTGCCTTCCCTCAGAGAAGCAGGCAGAGCCACATCCATGGTGTTCACAGCAGTGTCCTCTAGACAAGCCCAGTTCTGCAGTCGAAACCTGGCATCCTATAGGCAGAGTGCTTGTGGTTGCTATGGAAATAGCAACTGACCATTTAGCCCAATTTAGATTTAAAAATATGGATCCAAATACACAGTCTCTTCCTAACTATCCACACCATGACAGAGAAGTGTCTCTAACACAAGAAAGGGCAAGGCTGAGCATGGTAGCTCATGCCTGTAATCCCAACACTTTGGGAGGCTGAGGCAGGCGGATCACGAGGTCAGGAGTTCGAGGTCAGCCTGGCCAATATGGTGAAACCCCATCTCTTAAAAAAAAAAAAAAATTAAAAAAATTAAAAAAAATAAAAAAGAAAAGGGCAGAACCTCCGTGCTATTGAAATAGACATCTCTTCCCTGAGCAGTGCTACCTCCCGCTGCACAGTCACCTCTGGTATGATGGACTGAATGGTCCCTTTGGATACAATGATGGTAGGGGCTATAGGGGCACCAGAGAGGAGGCTGAACTGAGAGAGGGAAAGCAAGGCTGGCAGCTTTCCTGAGATGATCCAGATACCAGGCACAATATCCCAGTAGCCTTCCCACCACTTGCATGTTAGGACTAATTTTGATGGTGGCCAAAGACACAATTCATTTATGCTACAGAAGCAATAGACAATCCCCGGACTACACTTGTGAAAGGAATCAGAAGCAAAGAAAGAGTCTAAAATAGTAGGATAAAAAAGAGGCCGGGCATAGTGGCTCATGCCTACAATTCTAGCACTTTGGGAGGCTGAGGCGGGCAGATTGCCTGAGCTCAGGAGTTCAAGACCAGCCTGGGCAACACAGTGAAACCCTGTCTCTACCAAAATACAAAAAAAAAAAAAATTAGCCAGGTGTGGTGGTGCACGCCTGTTGTCCCAGCTACTCGGGAGGCTGAGGCAGGAGAATTGCTTGAGCCGGGGAGTCAGAGGTTGCAGTGAGGATAAGTGGCTTTCCATGGCCATGAGAGATCAATAGCCACCACTGGTCAGGTCGTGGGTCTGCGTTCCCTCAGGCAGGGAACCTCTCAGGAAGTCAGAGAAAAAAAACTTTTAACTTATCCATTTTCTCGGTGGGAACTAAGGGCAGCTCTCTCCAGTACCCACCTGAGCATTCATATTTGCCCCGTCGAGGAAGACCTGTCCTCCATGCTGATGAATGAGGTCACACACATCGCTGATATTCTCTTCAAACACCCCATTGGTGGATGGGTACGTAATCATGATGGCTGCTAGGTTCTCCTTGTGCTTATCCACCTGTGAGAGCAAAAGCGGTAGAGAGGGACATGGAGGGAGGATATGTTTCTTTCTTGGCCAAACACTCGCGTTTTATTTTAAAGAATAAAGAAAGATGAAGTCTTAGTCTTTGCATTACTGGAACTGTCTCAAAGTACAATCACAGCAATAAAAGATCCACAGCCATTACTCCTTTCACAAATCATTCCAAAGAAATAATAAGATCCTGGTTAGGTGTGGTGGCTCACGCCCATAATCCCATCATTTTGAGAGGCCAGGAGTTTGAGACCAGCCTGGCCAACATGGTGAAACCCCATCTCTAATAAAAACACAAAGTTAGCTGGGCTTGATCATGGGTGCCTATAATCCCATCTACTCAGGAAGCTGAGGCAGGGAGAATTGCTTGAACCGGGGAGGTTGCAGTGAGCCAAGATTGCACCACCGCACTCCAGCCTGGGCAAAAGAGCAAGGCCTCATCTCAAAAAACAAACAAAACAACAACAGCAGCAACAAAAAAAAAAGAAAAAGAAAAAGAAAAGAAATAATAAGATCCTTTTAGGCTAGGTCTCTATGGCCCAGACTAAAGGAACTATTCACAAGACTTCTGGGTATTTTGGGCCCAGCTCTCTGAGGTGGTTTTCCCTGGTTCAAGTCATCTCAATAATGATTTCAGATGTTCGTGGCTCTAGGCACACCATTCTCACAGTGAATCTCTCTGCTCATCTTCTCATATCCATTCCTTTCACTTGCCTTCTGTTGAAGTTAGAATTCCCAAATTACAGCTAGATAGGAGGAGTAAGTTCTAGAGTTCTATACCACCTCAGGGTCACTATCTATAACAATACATAATTTCAAATAGTTAGAAGGAAGATATTGAACGTTCCCTCAACACAAAGAAAGGAGACATGCTTGAGATGATGGACATGCTGATTGCCCTGATCTCATCACTATACATTTTATGTCTTGAAACATCACTATGTACCCTATGACTATGTACAACTATTGTAATTAAAAAGATAAAGAACAGGAATTGAGAAAAAAAAAAAAAAAAAAAAAAAAAACAATTCCCACAAGGAGAGTTTCTGCTTAAATAAAAGTTTCCTTCATTCTTTCTTTTTACGGAAGGCAAGCGTATATAAAAGTCGTGCCCCTGTTTGTTTTCCTGGCCAGCATATCAGAGCAAGCATGGGGGTGGCCAGGGGAGTCATGTGCTATATATTACTATAATGGAGGGACTTAATAATTTCAACTACTGGCCTGGCACACTTGTTGGAAGACTTTGTGGGGCAATGGAAGGGTAGGGGGAGATGGAAGAGAGGTGCAGCATTCTGGATTTTCAGCTTCCTTTGGAAGGCAATTGCATGGCGTTCCCAGTCTCCATGCCTAATAACGCCACCATCAAAATCACATTGCTATTCTACTCATTTCCTTCCCTCTTAAGATGCAGCCTCCAGTCCGCTGGTGGGAAGCAGATACAGTTGCTAAGCAACCTCTGCCTGGAGGTTGGGAGGTTGAGAGTGGGGGCTGGTGGAACCCAAGCTGCATGCTGCCTGGAATGCAGCACTCTGGGGCTGACACAGTCATGGATATTTGCAAAGTTGTCATTTGTGTTACAATTCCTGACAGAAAGATTCAGTGCAAGTATGACTGCCGTTTTGATTATCAAGTGGGGAAGGGGAGAAGGAGAGGGAAGATTGTGCAGAAAGAAAGAGACAGGTCCTGCAAGGAGTACTCTTGACCACCATGAATAATTCATTCAGTTTCTTACACAAGCTGGAATTAGAGAACGGGGATTTCTCCCTGTTGGTAATGGGAGGGGTAGAGTAGACTCTGGTCAAAGGAAGAACTGCAGACTTTTCATTAGAATGCAAGAGAAGACGTTTACATAATCCATCAAATCCCTGATCCCCACCACTGCTCCCCACCCCAGGCTCTCCCATCTGCTAAGGGGAAGACAAGTACCATGGCCTTGAGGTGAGCTGCATCGATATTCCCGTATTTATCCACCTCCACAGGCTGAATCTTCATGCCTGCCATGTGGGCACTTGCTGGGTTGGTCCCATGTGCTGATTTCGGAATGAGGCAAACCTGAGGAATAGAAAGGAAGGAAAGTACGAGGAAAATCATCATCTGACTATGAATAATGAGAGAAAAGACCTGCAACATGGTTATGGCACAAATTAGACATCACCTGTTTTTATTTAAGCTGAACACTAGTGCTTTAAAATCTGCTACAATTTAATTATTTGTCATTGCAAAACAATGTCCAAGAGTTTCCAGTTGAATACTGTTGTCTAAAGATGCTCAGAAAATCAATACAATCTTCCCTTATCCCAGCACACTAAAAATAGGCCTGAGCTGATTCTAACCTTGTGTCGGTTAGGATGCATAGAAAACACCTCAGAAAACATGAGATTGGAAGTTAAACCCAAGAACTCTGTTCCTACATCACAGCCTCAGTGCTCTGCTTGGCTTATCCAGGACAGATGATAATGATAGACATAATTCCAAGGCCTCCCAGTACCAATATACCAATTATATAAATATTTATTGGATGCTTACTCTGTAATAAATTATTAGTTACTATAAGAACCATAAACTAAGCATTAAAAATGATCAACCCGGGGCCAGGCGCGGTGGCTCACGCCTGTAATCCCAGCACTTTGGGAGGCCGAGGTGGGCGGATCACGAGGTCAAGAGATCGAGACCATCCTGGTCAACATTGTGAAACCCCGTCTCTACTAAAAATACAAAAAAAAAATTAGCTGGGCATGGTGGCCCGTGCCTGTAATCCCAGCTACTCAGGAGGCTGAGGCAGGAGAATTGCCTGAACCCAGGAGGCGGAGGTTGCGGTGAGCCGAGATCGCGCCATTGCACTCCAGCCTGGGTAACAAGAGCGAAACTCCGTCTCAAAAAAAAAAAAAAAAAATGATCAACCCAGCCGGGTGTGGTGGCTCACGTTCTATAATCCCAGCACTTTGGGAGGCTGAAGTGAATGGATTGCTTGAGGTCAGGTGTTGGACACTAGCCTGGAAAATATGGTGAAACCCTGTCTCTACTAAAAATACAAAAGATAGCTGGGTGTGATGGCAGGTGTCTGTAATCCCAGTTACTAGGGAGGCTGAGGCAGGAGAACCTGCGGAGGTTGCAGTGAGCCGAGATAGTGCCATTGCACTCCGACCTGGGCAACGAGAGTAAAATTCCATCTAAAAAAAAAAAAATTCAAACTGGCAGGGCGTGGTGGCTCATGACTGGAATCCCAGCACTTTGGCAGGCTTGAGACAGGCAACCTCACCTGAGGTCAGGAGTTCAAGACCAGCCTGCCCAACGTGGCGAAATCATGTCTCTACTAAAAATACAAAAATTAACCAGGCATGGTGGCACATGCCTGTAGTCCCAGCTACTCAGGAAGCTGAGGCAGGAGAATCGCTTGAACCCAGGAGGCAGAGGTTGCAGTGAGCCAAAATTGAGCCATTGCACTCCAACCTGGGCAACAGAGTGAGACTCTGTCTCAAAAATAAGTAAATAAAAATGATCAACTCCTGCCCTGGGTTCACACAACTCACCCGCTGACAACGGTGGCCTATGAATGACTGTCTAGAGTCCAGAGGAGCAGCACCAACATGAAGAAGGGGGTGTAGCTTCAGGTTAAGGAAGTCAAGGAAAGTGTCTCAAGAGTGAGCCTAAGTTAGAGTTTACAGCTGCACTGAATTTTTATGGAAGCTGGACAGTAGGTGCAATGCTAGAATTCTCAGACTCAAATCATCCTCCATTTTCTCCAAACAACCATGTGGACACAGGCCAAGACACATGCTCTTGTAGAGCTGATGAAGTGTCTCAATAGGAAAGTCAGTCACAAGGTTTTCCCCAACAAAAAGCATCAAGGAGAAGCCATGATTACCCTGAAAATAATCCTATATTTTATCCCATAGCCCATATTGCAACCCCTTTGAAGAGAAAGGGATGAGCATTATTAAAAATAGGCTATGGGCCGGGCACGGTGGCTCAAGCCTGTAATCCCAGCACTTTGGGAGGCCGAGGTGGGTGGATCACGAGGTCAAGAGATCGAGACCATCCTGGTCAACATGGTGAAACCCCGTCTCTACTAAAAATACAAAAAACTAGCTGGGCATGGTGGCACATGCCTGTCATCCCAGCTACTTAGGAGGCTGAGACAGGAGAATTGTCTGAGCCCAGGAGGCAGAGGTTGCGGTGAGCTGAGATCGCACCATTACACTCCAGCCTGGGTAACAAGAGCGAAACTCTGTCTCAAAAAAAAAAAAAAAAAAAAAAAAAATAGGCTATGAAGTTAAACCTTAGCTTCCAGCTCTTTCCTCAAAAACAGCAAATGAGTCTGCTTAAGAAAAATACACATGTACAAAAAGAGAACGTTAGCCAGAGGCCAACATGGACTACTCTGCACTCTTCTGCTGTCAGAAGCTTGGTACCCCTTTGGAATGGCTGTTGGTCTCATACTGGCTATGTTGTGCTGACCTCAAATCCTTTTTCTTGTTTGAATGCTTCCCTTCTGTAGTGATTTTTTTTTCTTTAATTTCTCAGGACTCAAGCGGGAAGCACTGTCCTCTCTCACAAGGTATTGTGAGTCTACAAAAGGATCACTGGATGAAAGGATCCCTTCAGGGCAGAATATTGGTAAGAAGGAGAAAAGTGAGTATCAAAAATGAATATAAAATATTCATAGAAAGCCAAAATTAAGAATTCATACCAGGCGAGTTCTGTTGAAACACAAACATGTAAAAATATCAACCACCCTTTGGTACACTGAATAATGGGCTCCCAAAGACATCCCTGTCCTAACCTCAGAACCTGGGGGTGTTCCCTTATATGGCAAGGGGGACTTGCAGATGGCATTCATGTAAGGAAAGATCTTGAGATGGAAAGATTATTCTGGATTTGGGGTTGGGCCCTAAATGTATTCTTATGTGTCCTCGTCAGAGGGAAGCAGAGGGAGATGGGACCACAGAGAGAGCAGGAAATGTGCTGACTGAAGCAGGAAGCTGGAGCCAAGGCACACAGGGCCTGCAGACGCCAGCAAAGGCAAGCAAACGGATTATCCTGTCTCCCCCAGAAGGAACAGCCCTACCAACACTTTCATTTTAGCCCAATGAAACCAATTTCTAACTCCTGGCCTTCACAACTATAAGAAAATTAATGTGTGTTGTTTTAGGCCACTAGGCATGTAGTGATTTATCACAGCAGCCATAGGAAACTAATACACATCCTGGTACAAAGAGTGATGGAAAAAGAAGTCTCAGTGGCTTTGTCAAGGCCTTATATGTTGCTGTCAGACATTTCTGGTATTCTATGAGGATTTGGCGGACTTTATGATGTTAATTTTTTTCTCAGTTTAAAGTTATAGTGCTGGCTGGGCATGGTGGTTCACACCTGTAATCCCAGCACTTTGGGAGGCTAAAGCGGGTGGTTCACTTGAGGCCAGGAGTTCAAGACAGCCTGGCCAACATGGTGAAACCCCGTCTCTACTAAAAATACAAAAATTAGCCAGGTGTCATGATACATGCCTATAGTCCCAGCTACTCGGGAGGCTGAGGCAGGAGAATCATTTGAACCCAGGAGGCAGAGGTTGCAGTGAGCCGACATCATGCCACTGCACTCCAGCCTAGATGACAGAGAGAGACTCTGTCTTGGAAAAAAACAAAAAAATTGTATTGTTGTGAGGGATATGGAAGTAATAGGACACAGATTTGAAGCTTTGGTTTATCCAAAGCAAATTCAGCTTTTGGTGCATTGATGCCCATGTAGGGGGGTGCTATGTTTTCTAAACTCCCCAGGGTGCCGCATGGCATAGAACAGGCATAGGTCATACTCTAACTTGTTGAATGAGTGAGGATTGAGGACTTTTCCTGTGCAAGGGAAATTGACATCTTACCACTGGTAAAATCTAAAAAGTAGGCCACTACTCGGTCTCAGGCAGTTGGGAAGAAAAAAAATATTCCCATACCGGTTTTGAGCTTTCTTTGGTGATTTACATATATGCATAACTTTTTTCCTTTGGTCAATGTTTTCCCTTCGTATAGGAAACTCAGACTATGAACAGCAAACTTGTTTTTCTTCAGAGTTTTTATTTTTTCACAAGATATGGTAATCCGGTGATCTGCTGATTAAGTTAGTATTTGCCTAACAAATTGAAATATTAATTGAAAAGCGTTAAAGGCCAGGCCTGGCACATGGTAATTGCCATGTAAATGTTTGTTAAATACATTTCTATTCTCCCAAATTAAACTCATAAATCAAGAAGCTGGGCATTCCATTTTAGAAACCTCTGAAATTTAACCTCAGAGAAAATGTGAAAGTAACTTCAAAAAGCAGCTTGAAAGAAGAAACCCATCAGGAATCCAGGCACTTCTGTAGCACATGATTTCCCCACACTCCCTTTCAAAAAAGAAGGATATATTTTGCTGGATTCCATTAGAATTTATTGTGTGGAAGCAGCTGCCTTAGACAGTACTGATGTGAAAAAATCTTCCCTGATTAGTGAATAATAAGTCATTTTTTCTCTAGCTAAAAAACTTGGCTTTAATTAAAAGAATTTTTTTTTGAGAGTCTTGCTGTCTTGCCCAAGCTGGAGTCCAGTCACACGATTTCAGCTCACTGCAACCTCTGCCTCCTGGGTTCAAGCAATTCTTCTGCCTCAGCCTCCCAAGTAGCTGGGATTATAGGCAAGCACCACCATGCCTGGCTAATTTTTGAATTTTTAGTAGAGACAGGGTTTCACCATGTTGGAGATGTTGGCCATCTGATCATGTTGGCCAGGCTGATCTTGAACTCCTGACCTCAGGCAATCTGCCTACCTCAGCCTTCCAAAGTGCTGGGAATATGCATAGGCATGAGCCACCACGCCTGAGCTAATTACAATTTTTGATTCAGAAGGATGCCAACATTTCCAGGCTTATGAGCTTTGTATTTTCTAACAGCTCAGTGGCTAGAGGGAGGGAGACTTCTGTGACTCTCCCTCTCCCACTCTCCCTGAAGTGCAGCATCCAGCCCCTCTCCCTCCTACAGTATGAAATGGCCTCTCGTGACACTTCAGTGATGGCAGTTTGGGCAACAGGATCAGGAGAAACATCACAAACAGCGGGTGGAGAAGAGAAGGAGGACCAGAAAACACAAAGGGAGAGAACAGGAGCCAGAAAGAATCTGTGAGTCACCCCACCCAGGCCAAACCCCAAGGCCTCTCATTCTTTCTCCTTTGTCTTTCCAGTTAGGTCTCTAGTTCCTGGACATTGACCTCTACTTCCTGGTGTGAGACTAGGGAATTTGGGAAATGTTGAGGGGTGAGAAGCATCAGTGCGTGGGAAGAATCTGGATTTTAGCGGGTCCTTTGCCATTAGCTAGTCATCTGCCTTCTCCAAACACCGCTCTCTGCAGCCTCTCCACTCAGCAGTGGAGGAATGGGGTGGAGATGTCACGTGGGCCAGGCTGCTCCCTTTCCACCATCCCCAAACTCCTGGGCACCTCGTGCTGAAAGACGCTAATGATGAGGAGGTCCAGGGGTGACCTCAGCACATGGAAGCCATGAAAGAAAAATAGGAAAGGGAGCATCTGGCATTGTTTCACTGGTTGGACACTTGGAACTCCAAGGTTTCCTTTCTGATTCTGTGAAAGTACCAAGACTCTCAGGTCCCAAGAGCAATTATAGTTCTTTTTTTTTTTTTTTGAGAGAGAGTGTCGCTCTTGTTACCCAGGCTGGAGTGCAATGGCGCGATCTCGGCTCACCGCAACCTCCGCCTCCTGGGTTCAAGCAATTCTCCTGCCTCAGCCTCCTGAGTAGCTGGGACTACAGGCACGCGCCACCATGCCCAGCTAATTTTTTTTTGTATTTTTAGTAGAGACGGGGTTTCACCACGTTGACCAGGATGGTCTCGATCTCTCGACCTCGTGATCCACCCGCCTCGGCCTCCCAAAGTGCTGGGATTACAGGCTTGAGCCACCGTGCCTGGCCGCAATTATAGTTCTAAACTAATCATTCCTTAGAAAGTTGAGAGTTCAAAACCACAAATGAATAAACTTGGCGGGGGGGGGGGGGGGGGGGGCGGGAATTTCAGGGTCTATGCCTGTCTGGTTGACCATTTCACTTCTCTCTGGACTGGCAAGCACTCCTTGACCATGACCAGGGTTTAATCATTTATTCAATTCACAAATCGACTGTTTTTCAATTAGACATGAATTCTAGGGCCAGGTGAGGACAGTCATGCCTGTAATCCTGGCCTCTCTAGCACTTTGGGAGGCTCCCTTGAGCCCAGGAGTTCAAGGCCGCAGTGAGCTATTTAAAAAAAAAAAAAAAATGAGGCCGGGCGCGGTGGCTCAAGCCTGTAATCCCAGCACTTTGGGAGGCCGAGGCGGGTGGATCACGAGGTCAACAGATCGAGACCATCCTGGTCAACATGGTGAAACCCCGTCTCTACTGAAAATACAAAAAATTAGCTGGGCATGGTGGCGCGTGCCTGTAATCCCAGCTACTCAGGAGGCTGAGGCAGGAGAATTGCCTGAACCCAGGAGGCGGAGGTTGCGGTGAGCTGAGATCGCGCCATTGCACTCCAGCCTGGGTAACAAGAGCGAAACTCCGCCCCCCCAAAAAAAAAAAAATGTATTCCCCAACCAGGATGAAAGCCTGGAAAGACACACCTGTGGAATCAGGATGAGCTATGCAAGGGAAGGAGAGAAAGAGAAGTTCTTTCTTTTCCCCTTTATGAAAGGGAAGTGAAACAGTTTCAACATTCTTTATTGCAAATTCCAGGCAACTGGCCATAAGTAACCTTCCAGTGGTAATAAAACCAGAGATGGACTAAGATTAGGCCACTACCACTCCACCCCACTTAGGCAGCCAGCACCACCCTACACCCTTTGTCTCCAACTCTCTAGGACAAGCAGATACTTTTGTCCTGCTCCCGGTTCCTAGCCGACGCTCCCACTAAGGGCACCCACTCTACAGCTCAGTGGAAACTCTAGCATAGCACTGGCCATCAGATTGAAGGAACCAGAAACACAGGCCACCTCTGCCACAAGCTGAGGTCTGAGTTAGGTCACTGCTTCAGGCACTGCCCCTGGGGGCAGGTGGTGCCCATTAGTACCTGCTGGTCCCCACAGTGGTCCCCAAGAGGTGATTGGGATCCTGGAGACCAGATTCTCACATCCAAAGCAATGAAGCAAGACCGTGAACTCTGCTTTATGCCTTTTTTGGTGCTTGAAGTTGAGAATCATCTAACAGAGAATTTATTTATTCAAAAATATTTTTTTAGCATATGTATGGCCAGCACTGGGTTTCAGCAAAATAGGGGTTACGTAAGAATTTAAGCATGGTCTCTGCCCCTCATCCAGGCCCAGGGCCGGGGCTGAGCCAAGAAGAGGATGCTTGCAATGGCAACATTCCTGCCCTCTTCCTCCCTCAGCTCCCTAGAGAGCAGTTCCACAGCCAACTGGCTGACGTTTGCATTCTGGGTTTAAGCAAAAGTCTTTTATCTCTGAATGTTTTCCCTCAAAATGGTCAAGCGGGATGTCTTGGAAGCAAGGATCATAATGGCTAGTTCACAGAAATTTGTTTCTTGACTATATGTTCCCTCATCTGCTTCCAAGAAGACTTGGAGGGAGTGTCCAACCGAAGAGACCCTGAGAGCTAGGACCTCTGTGCCCCCCATGGTGAGAAAGTGTCACCTCCTGCCACACTCACCGTTCTGTGCCCCTCTCCTTTCTGGTCTAAGTAGGCTCGGATAGTGGCCAGTCCAGCATATTCCCCCTGGGCTCCACTTGCAAAGACAAGAAGAAAAGGATCATGGTTAGGTCTTCTGGCTTTCTTTTGCTTATTCAGTATTCATTAGGCCCTGGCCAGGAGTTCACTAGCGCATGACACATGGTCACTGTCCAGACACTGAGAGGAGCTCACTGGGGAGCTCTGCCGGAGCCAAAGGTCTTGAACAATCAAAACAATCAAAGCAGCAGTCCAATTTGTGCACTACAGCTCAGCTACTTCTACCCAAAGATGGGGCTTTCTACCCTTGTTCAGGATCACTCACTGAAAATAGCCTTTTGTCATTATGAAAAACTTCAAAACTATACCAAAATACAGAGAAGAACAAAAGGAACCACCATGTGTGTATCAGCCAGCTGTAACGATTCGGTTTATGGTCACTCTTGTTCCAATTATATTCCTCACTAACCACTTTCATGCTGAACTATATATTTTGAAGCAAACTTCAAACATCCTAGCATCTGTTCAAATGTCAATATGCAGCCTTCAAAGGTAAGTATTGTTTTTAAAAATAAAACTACAGGCCGGGCATGGTGGCTCACTCCTGTAATCCCAGCACTTTGAGAGCCCGAGGTGGGTGGATCACCTGAGGTCAGGAGTTCAAAACCAGCTTGGCAAACATGGTGAAACCCTGTCTCTAAAATAAGTAAATAAATAAATATCAGTGTTGTATGCCCATCTTCTACGTGTGTGTGTGTGTGTGTGTGTGTGTGTGTGTGTGTGTGTAGAGGCCGGGTGCAAATGTGGGCAGATCATGAGAGCTCAAGAGTTTGAGACCACCCTGGGCAACATGGTAGAACAATGTCTCTACTAAAAGTACAAAACATTAGCCTGGTGCGGTAGCACACATCTGTAGTCCCAGCTACTGGGGAGGCTGATGTGGGAGGATCACTTGCATCTGGGAAGTGGAAACTGCAGTAAGCCAAGATGGCACCACCGCATTCCAACGTGGGTGACAGAGTGAGATCCTGTCTCAAAACATAAATTAAAAAAAACTGCAAACACAGTTGTCACACCTAGAACAATGACTTTCCATTTTTTCCTTTTTTCCCCCCTTTTCTTTCCTCCTTTAAATGGGTAATATACCAATATCTTAACAAGGTTCAAGGAAGGCACACCTATACATGAGCATGAAAACCGATTGTCACTCTTTCTGACTTCTTAATACCACCAAATATCAAATCAAGGGCCCGATCAGCCCCAAAAGGATGATGGACTTTTAATGTGACACCACTGCTGGCAGTCTCAGGGTCTGCTCTCCCAGGCCCCACATGCAGATGGCTGCTAGGGGCTGGCCATCCTCATCTCAAGGGTCTTGGAAGGCACCACCCTCAGGGCAAATGCAATGACTAACATTCCTGTGAGCAATGGTGACTCAATCGTAAGCTGTTATTTAATGTTCTCAGCACCCCATGCAGGAAGGGAAGGGAAATGAGTAATAGATGTATCAGTCCCATGCAAAATGTGTATGTCTGCAGAAGCTGAAGGCAAAAATTAAATACTAAAAAAAGAAACAAAAATTTAAACTTTAAACAAGTGAAAATAAAAATAAAATTAAATTTTTTTAATGTGACCCACAGAAAATAGGTGAGAAGAAAAATAAAATGTGTATGTCCTCCATGCCATCACCCCCATTTTACATATGAAGAAACTGCGGTCAGAACGCGACATGCCAAATGGCCAACAGTGACAGACGAAAGCCTGGGTGTGGAGTCGGCCTGTCTCCCGGAGCGACAGGCTTCTCTTGGAGGCAGTGCCGTTCCTCTGAGCACACTGTGCTCTCCAAGGATTGAGAGTTGTGGGAGCAAATGCTGGTTCTCCTTCACAGCAGAATTCTTGTCAGATTGATAGAACTGGCAAGTTTAGCTAAAATCAAAAAAAGGAAAAAAAAAAAAAAAAAAAAAAAGAAGGAAAGAAGAAAGCAAGCAAGCCTGTCTTATGAGACCTGGCTTACCACGTCACCCACACTGACTCAGCTGTAGCTGTCTCCGCTCTCTTCCAATAAGAACGCAAAGACTGCTTCTTCTGTTTTCCTGGCTTCTGAAAAACAAGTCCTGGCCTATTTGAGGTTTTTTATTTTGAGGACAAGTAAATGAATATGCCGTGCTTCAGGAAACCACTCACATCACTAGCATCTCTGTCTCCCTGTACCTACATGCCTGTGACATGGGTACCATCGCGCAGGGCGGATGTGATAAGTAGTGACATCACCGATGTCAAATGCTTCTCACCCAAATCCTGCCTATTTTTCATCTGGCTCCAACTCTCTGCAAAGCCTTTCCCAAAGCCACCAGTCCAGCTCTTTGTCACTTCCTCAGAGAGGCCTTCCCTGAAGGCAAGAATCTTGTCTACCTTGTTTATAATTGTATTCTCTGTGACAAAAACACTGACATAAAGAACATTTGATAGATCGACTAAAGAAATAATCCTGTACCTCCTCCAAATCTCATAACACTTTACAATCTTATCTGACATTACCGTCCTATACATGTACTGCACACTGAAAATTATTACTGATCTCACATTTACTTTGTGTGCCTGTCTTATCTCAATTAGAGAATAACCTCTGAAAGTCGGGTCTAATTCTCAGAGTTCTGTACATTCTCCAACAGGGAATATATAGAACAGTACTCTGCATGTAGTAGTTCTGCAATAAATATTTAGTAAATATTTTAAAAATTGAATTTCTCCATCCCAAGCAATCAATATGGATGTCATCCTTTCCTGTACAGTAAAGAACCTCAAGAAAAGCACTGTATATTTACTCCTATGTTTTTCTCATGAATTCTATTCATCTTACTTTCTTGGAAGGCCAATCAAGCTGTAGACTAGGAATGAAGGAAGAGGCAGGTTACTGGCTGCAAGCCAGGAGTGCAGGAGAAGGCAACATGCTAAAGACTTTATCAGAAATCCTGGATTTCTCTCTCGCCCTTTTTCTTTTTTTTTTTTTTTTGGACTTAAACATCTATAAAATCAGCTATGTTTCAACTCAAAAAGTTCAAATGATAAATTCAAATGTGACACAAGGATTACTACTGGGATATTAAAACAAACTGTTACTGCCACCTGTTGGTAGAAGAGTATTATGAAAATTAATTGCTTATCTACATAACTCAGACTGAACAACCATCAGCAAACTATTATATATGGACGAGAGGCAGGCTAGGACAGTGCTTTTCTGACAACTGTTTAAAATGAAGTAATGAATGGTTTGGAGCTGCAGGGCTGGCCAGTGGATAGGGAGCCTCATACATGCCAAGTTTATGTTAGTGCAGCCTAAACTGTCTTAGAAAAACAAAGCCTTCCAGGCTGGGGGTGGTGGCTCACGCCTGTAATCCCAGCACTTTGGGAGGCCAAGGCAAAGGGTAGATCGCCTAAGATCAGGAGTTTGGGACCAGCCTGGCCAACATGGTGAAACCCCATTTCTACTAAAAATACAAAAAAAGTAGACAGACATGGTGGTGCAGGCCTGTAATCCCAGCTACTTTGGAGGCTGAGGTGAGAGAATCGCTTGAACCTGGGAGGCGGAGGTTGCAGTGTGCCAAGATCGTGTGACTATGCTCCAGCCTGGGCCACAGAATGAGACTTAATCTCAATAAGAAAAAAAAAAAAAAAAAAAAGAAACAAAAACAAGGTCCTCATATGTACGGCATTCACTTTGGCTGATGAAGGAACTGCTGTTTAAGGCAGAATGCAGAAACTGAGTACACAACTTCTTCCAAAATCTGGATTCATTCTACAAAGAATCCACAAGAAATTCAATAGACTAGAAAAAGTAGAACAACCACATAACAGGTATAAGAACCCGCAGGGTGAAAATAAGTTGGAGTTGATGGAATTCAACACTATTGTGATGACTATAACCTAGGCGCTTTCAGTATCAGTGTATCATCATAGATGTGCAAGTTCAGGAGAAATACTCAGTGTGAACTTAGGAAAAAAAAAGAATTTGTAGATGACATGGCAGAGATAGGGTGAGGGTGCTAGCTCAGAAGAGCTAAAAGTCCTTTTGCCAAGGTTAGAACAGGAGTTCAAAGGCAAAATAAATTTTAAAGATTTTAAAAATTAATTTATCTTTCCCTTTACTAAGAACCCTAGCCAAACACATTGAGAATTAGAAATAGATGTTGTAGGCCAGGTGCTGTGGTTCACACCTGTAATCACAGCACTTTGGGAGGTCGAGGCAAGACGATGACCTGAGGTCAGGAGTTCGAGATCAACCTGGACAACATGGCAAAACCCCATCTCTACTAAAAACACAAAAATTAGCCCGGTATGGTGGCATGCATCTGTAATCCCAGCTACCTGGGAGGCTAACGCAGAGGAATCACTTAAACAGAGGAGGTGGAGGCTGCAGTGATCCGAGATCGTGTCACCGCACTCCAGTCTCGGCGACAGAGTGAGACTCAGTCTCATGGGAAGGAAAAAAAAAACACACTGTGGCTGACTTACCATAAGCAACTTCTCAGATGGTGAGATGGTGGCTGCTTTGGAATACTTGGAGATGGGTCACTGTAGCTATATGTTTTTACATATGCAAAAAGTAACATGAAACCCATTTTGCAAGATTACAGAATGCACTAAAGTAATAATTTATGGTGAACACCAGTGGTCACCATAACTCCCACTATATCCCAAAGTTTTAAAAATTATAGTACCAACAAATTAAGACTTATATATGTTTGAATTACCAAATACCTAGATTGACCAGATCTATTTTAGTTTTAACATTCCCTAAATATTCTGAAAATTATTTTATAGTTTTTAACACACTATTATAGTTTCTGCATGGATGGCCATCTTCAGTGTATGATTTCACTGAAGCTCTCACTGAAGTTGTTTATAAGCAGTGGACCATTTTACTTTTTATATTTGTCCCAAAGGAATGGGACAGTTAAAGATTTTCCACTGGGCCCGGTGGCTCACCTGTAATCTCAGCACTTTAGGAGGCTGAGGCAGGCAGATCACCTGAGGTCAGAAGTTTGAGACCAGCCTGAC